TCACCTGCCTCTGCCCCCCAAGTACCAGAATTACAGGCATGTGCCACTATGCCCAGTTAACTTTTTTTTTTTTTTGTCTTTTTGAGACAGGGTCTCCCTGTAGCCCCACTAGGCCTGGAACTCACTATGTAGACCAGGTTGGCCTTGAACTCACAGAGATCCCCCTTAACATTTTATTTAACCAAATCATTTCAATGTGTGGTTAACACAAAAAAATTAGAAAATAGTTTACCTAGGCCTGGTGTGGTGCTGCACGTTTTTAATCCCAGCACTCAGGAGGCAGAGGCAGGCAGATCTCTGTGAGTTCGAGGCCAGCCTGGTCTACACAGTGAGTTCCAGGACAGCTGGGGATACAGAGAGACCCTGTCTCAAAAAGACCAAAACTAAAAAGTTTGCCTTTATTTTGTGTAAAGTCATTGATGTTTTTAGGATGCTAAATTGTATATACTTAAGATACACAACAGAATGTTAAGGAGTACATGCAAGCAGCAAAATGATTACTATAGTAAAGCAAATTAACTCATCCATCACCTCACAGGGTGTGACCCATTTTATTTGTGTGTTTGTTTTTGTAGCAAGAGTAGCTAAAATCCACTCATTTAGCAGAAATCCCAATTACATTAAAATTATATTACCTAAAGTCCTCCACACATTAGAATACTAGACCTAGTCATCACACATACCTGCCACTTTATAACCTCTTACCAACACATCCCCATTTCCTCTCTCCACCCCACTCCTGGTGCCAGTTTTAGTTTCTCTGGATATCTTACCTTTGTGTGTCTGTGTGTGCGTATGTGTGTGTGTGTGTGTGTGTGTAATTCCATGTGTAAGTGATATCATACAGCATTTTTCTTGCTATATTTCTGGTTTATTTTACTTACTATAATGTCCTCTAGACACATTCATGTATGGCAAGTGACAGATAACCTTCCTCCAAAAATAAAAATCTGAATATTCTAATGTGTGTGTATATATATATATATTGTGCATATACAATTTCTTTATGCTCTCATTCCTGGTTGGATATTCAGTTATTTCCATATCTTGTCTATTATGGAGAATTCTGCAATGGACACAGGAATGCAGATATCTTTAAAAATGGTGATTTGGGATTTATATTCAAAAGAGTGATTACTGGGTCATATGATAGGAATATTTTTAATATTTCTATTACATACATTATTTAATATTTATAATTAACATTTCTACATCATTCCCACTTCCCTTTTCTCCACATGCTTGACAAATTTGTTATTTGACCTTTTTTTTTTTTGGCCTTTTTGAGACAGGACCTCCCTGTAGCCTCAGCTGTCCTGGAACTCACTGTGTAGACTAGCCTGGCCTCAAACTCACAGAGATCTGCCTAACTCTGCCTCCTGAGTGCTGTTATTTGACTTTTCAATAAAGGTCATCTTACTGGGTGTGAAATATTTTGTAGTTATTTTGATTTGCATTTCCCTAATGAAGTTTGTTGGGCACTTTTACATATCTGGTGATTTAAGATTTTATTTTATTTTTAATTGTGTGTGTGTGTGTGTGTGTGTGTGTGTGTGTGTGTCTGTGGATAAAGCTGCTCTTAGAGGGCTGAAGAGGGTGTTGGTTGTCCCTGGAGATGGAGTTAGAGCAGCTGTGAGCTTCCCAACATGGTACTAACATGGTACTGGTATCCGAGCTCAGATCCTCTGCAAGAGCAGCGCATGCTCTGCGCCACTAAGCCATCATCTCTCCAGCCCTTATCTGGTGACTACTTTTTGAGATGGTTTTATATAAACTAGACTGGCCTCAAACTCAATATGTAACCAAAGATAACCCTAAACTCCTGATCCTCCTGTAAGATTAGAGATATTCACTACCCTCTGTTGACCATTTCTGTGTACTCTTTGGAGAAGGATCTAATAAGGGTCCTTTGCCCATCTTTTATTGGTTAGTTTCTGTTTCAGTAGTAGGTTGAATGAGGGTTTTGTTTTGTTTTTTCAGACAGGGTCTCCCTGTAAGCCCTCAGCTGCTCTGGAACTTGCTACACATACTAGGCTGTCCTGGATCTCACAGAGTCCACCTGCCTCTGCCTCCTGTGCTGGAACTAAAAGCATGTGTCACCATGCCCAGCCTAATGAATTTTTAATAAATTTTAGATATCAATCCCTATCAGGAATGTGTCTTACAAAATATTTTTCCCAATCCATAGGTCTTGTTTCATTTTGTTTATTACTTCCTTACAACATTCACATTTCAAGTGCTCAAGAGCCACGTGTAGTTCCATAATGAACTATGTACATCCATCCATAACTAAAATGAGTTAAATACTGTTTCTGCATTTCTAAAACACGGTAACATAGCAAAATGCCTTGAGAGATAACAGTTTTACATGAGTCAAACTATAAGAATAACAGCTGGTATTAATAGAGCATTTGTGACAGACCCTATTTTAAATGCTTTTCAAGCATTATCTCATTTGATTTTTAGATACTGATAACAACCTAGTTTATATTTAAGGAAACTAAAACATAGGGACAATAAAGATTTAACCCAGGTTATGCTCTTAAACTCTATGCTATGCGGCAAGAAATATGACAGTAGTTTGGGATGTAATTCAGTTGGTAGAGTACTTGCCAAGTATGCAGAAGGTCCTGGGTTCAATCCCCAGAACTGAGCTAAATAGGGCGTGATAGTGCATACCTATAATCTCAGCAGTGGGGAGATGGAGGAAGTAGAATCAGAAAGTCAAGGTCATTTTTAGCTACAGAGAGAACCCACAGACTGCTACATTAGATTCAGTCTCCAAAAAAGATTAGAATTAGTTTCTACATTTCTTAATGAAAATAGACTATAATACAAAACATCAGTGTAAATGGGTGTGATAGTTAATATGAATTGTCAACTTAAAGAGACCTAAAATCACCTGGGAGACAGGCCTCTGGGCATGCCTGTGGGGGCTATCTTACAGAGGTGAACTGAGGTGGAAGACCTAGCCACTGTGGGCAGGACTACTCCCAGGGCAAGTGATCCTGGCAGCCTCAAAAGGAGAAAGTAAAGCTGAGCACAAGCACTTTTTGCTCTGCTTCCTGACTGTGGACACAATGAGACCAGCTGCTTTCAAGCTCCTGTTACTGTAACTTCCCCTCCATAAAAGACTAACCTCCAACGGTGAACCAAAATAAGTCCTTTTCTCCCTTATGTTGTCAGATGTTTTATCACAGCAACAGAAAAGTAACTAAGATAACAAGCACAATGTACCCCAAAATTTTTAAATTTTAGCTAAAGCGAGGACAATGCTTATCCTTTTATATATGTGCGTGTATGTGTGTGTGTGTGTGTGTGTGTGTGTGTGTGTGCGTGCGTGCGCGCGCGCGCGCATGCGTGCATGCCATGAGCAGAATGGAACAGAGTCAGATGTGGTAGCACAAACCTGTAACCCCAGCACTTGGGAAGCTGAGAGAAGAGGATTGCTGTGAATTTAAGACCAGCCAGGGCAGACCCTCACTCAAAAAACCAAAAAGACAAGAAAAGATTCATTGACTATAAAAATTTCAAACTACTGAACATCTCTTCGGAAAATTGCATTTAAAATTCTGGTAGTTAAATAAGCGGACTCACATTAAAAAAAATCTGTGATCAGAGCCTAAACTGTCTGAGCCTACTGTGTACTTGAACTCAGAAGATAAGGACAGCCTTGATCCACAGTTGAAGGCCATGACCATCTGGCACTGATTTTCAGGATGTCATTGGAAAGCCTGATCACACCACCTTGGATTACATAACAAACCATCACTGTACTGTTTTCTCACACTGAAAACTTCACAAAGGTAGCCAGATCTAAAAGGGAACTCTTAAATAGTTAATTTGTATAAAGTGCCTGAGCAGATATTTAGCAACAGAGCAAAAAGGTTAAAAGTGCCAATCTGTCTCTGTTATAAGAAACACATCAACCTACCAAAAATGCCCCAAAACCTATGGTTCTTTTTGTCCTTTGATCAATTTAAACAACTTCAACAAGTGTCTCAACCAAGTTCCTCCATGGGCTTTTTTTATTTTGTATTTATTTATTTATTATTTATTTTCCTTTTGACTATCAGCTAGTACATGTGTCGGGTACTGCATCTGGCCTTTACATACCCACTTTTCCACATTATTGTGATTATGGTTAACAATGCTAGAATCAAAATGGCTTCCCATTTACCAGCCAAGTTTTTTCCTAGGATGATAACTCTAGAGACCCTCACATAAGAAAATACTTACCTATGGTTTTGTTTGTTTGTCTGTTTGCATGGTCACATGGGCAAACACTTTGCCCCTGAGCTATGTCCCCAGGCTTTAGAATACTATGATACAGTTATTTGTACCATAAGATCTTAAGATTAGTACAGATATTAAATACCTTGATCACTCTTAAAACATACAAAGCAGAATAACTTTTAAAACAGAACATTTTCATGAAATCAACGCTAAAATCTTCAGTATCACTACTAAAGAACAGAGTTCAAGTTCTGTGCTAATTATAAATCACAAGTATGAATAAGCACTATATACACTGAAACATGTAAAATATAAAACTAACATAAAAAGTAGTTATAGCTGGGCATGATGGTACATGCATAATTTAATCCCAGCACTTGGGAGAGATCTCTCTAAGGATCTCTGTGAGTTCAAGGCCAGCCTGGTCTACATAATGAGTTCCAGGCCAGCTGGGGCTACAGGGAGACCTTGTCTCAAAAAAAAAAAGAAAAGAAAAAAAAAAAATCACTAATATTCTACGATACAACTAAAGTTAAAAATTCAACATATATGATGCAATATATAACACTTTTTAAAAGCTCCCCTAGGGTTAGGGATGTAGTGGTATTTACTTGGCATGAGGTACTAGGTTCAATCCTCAGCACAATAAAAACACTGTGACTGGCCCTTTAACTCACAGAAAGTGCCAAAGATGATTACATCTTCCTCTGATGATACACACGATTCAACAAAGTCAAGAAAATGAAAACATTCAGTACCCTTACCTGTCTCAGATATGTATGTAACAGGGTCCTTCTGTGAAATTTTCCCAGGTTTAGAAGACAATGACAATTTTTCTGATGACTTTTTAGCATGTTTTACCTGTATTGTCTCCTCTGATTCTGAATCTGTGAGAGAAAAATAAAAACTTTAAACAGAAATATTATAGTGTGACTTTTTTTTTTTTTTTTTTTTTTTTTTTTTTTCTAGTCTTCTTGAGACAGGGTCTCCCTGTAGCCCCAGCTGTCCTGGAACTCACTATGTAAATCAGGCTGGCCTTGAACTCACAGAGATCTGCCTGCTTCTGCTTCCCAAGTGCTGGGACTACAGGTGTGCACCACCACGCCAGGCTCAAAGAATTTTTTTTTTTTTTTTCTAGTCTTCTTGAGACAGGGTCTCCCTGTAGCCCCAGCTGTCCTGGAACTCACTATGTAGACCAGGCTGGCCTTGAACTCATAGAGATTCTCCTGCCTCTGCCCCGAGTGCTGGGATTAAAGGTGTGCGCCACCACGCCAGGGTTTAAAATATTTTTTGAAATTTTATTTATTTTCATTTTATGTGTACGAATGTTTTGCCTACATGTATACATGTGCACCACATGCATGCCTTGTGCCTTTGAAGGCCAGAAAATGTGTTAGATCCCTTCGAAATGGGAGTTACAGGCAGCTGTGAATTACTGTATGGGTGCTAGGAAACTGAATCTGGGTCCTCTGAAAGAGCTATTAACCACTGAGCCATCTATACAGCCCCTACACTGTATTTTTTAAATAGTCATTGAGAACTACATCCTCAAGGCGTATCTGTTACGAATTTTAATTTTATTTTTATTCAGTGATAAACCTAAGTATTAGATCCCTATTGCTGTGGTAACAAATCACTGCAAACTGAGTGGCCTTAAAAAAAAAAAAAAAAAACACAAACATGGGCTGGTGCAATGGCTTGTCATCAACCCTGATGAACTGAGTTCAAGCCCCAGGACCTAAATAATAAAAGGCTGTCCTCTGACCACCATATATACACAGTGGTATGCATGTGCTGTGCTCACATATATGTAATAGCTCTGAACAAAGTCTGCTATGGGACTCATCAGGGTGTCAGCAGGAATATGCTCCTTTCAGGATTCCCTAGGGGAGGATGCATTTCCTTGTCTTCTCCAGGTTGCCAGCAATCTGTGGCTCTTACCCCATTCCCCGATGTTCAAAGTCAGAAAACTAGGCAGGTTGACATAGGCCAGAAGGATAAAAAGTTGAGACTTGCCTGGGCTACAAGTTCAAGGCCAACATGGGCAACTCAGTGAGACCCTGTCTCAAAGTTAAAAAAATATATATAACTCAAGGGTAGAATGTTGCCTAGCATGTGTGAGGATTCAATCCCCCACACCACAAAAACAAACTTCAAGCAGGGTACTTCTCATGCTGCAGCTCTCTGATCTCTGACCTCCTTCCTATACTTTTTTTTTAATGTATATGATTATTTTGTGTGCATGTATGTTAAGTACACAGCATGTGCAATGCCCATGGAGACCAGAGGGCATCAGATCCTCTGGAACTGGAGCTACAGATGGTGGTTGGACACCATGTAAGTGCTGGGAATCAAACCCCAGTCCTCTACAAGAGCAGTCAGAGCTCTTAACTGCTGAGCCATCTCTCCAGGCCCTTCTTACTCCACACTTTTACTCTCTCTTCAGATCTCTCTGCCTCCTGGCTCCTTGGGCCTGTTGAGTGTCTTATTTTACGGTCACCTGGACAGCAACCTGCAACCTGTACTTCCTTTTGCTGTTTAACCTAACATAGTAACAGGTTCTAAGAATCAGGGTGTGGCTATCTTTGGAAGTCATTACACTAAATACTCTGCCTAATTGCCCAGACTACTTAATGCAAATCAGAACAAAATATAAGCACCTAACATAGAGCCCAGCACAAAATAGATAGTTCATAAACTTACTGTCCGTCCTCTTCCTCTGTATCATGTCTCATATTGTTTAATATAAACAAGAGGAAACTCAGAGAACAGAGACACACATTCTCAAATTCCTTACAATATAAGGTAGTAAAATGCAGTCAGTAAATATTCAAGTACTCACCATCACCGAAAATTCTAACATTTTACGTGTTATGGCACATGCCTGTAGTCCCAACTACTCCCAATGAGGAGGCAGGAAGCTAGAGCCTACCGCAAGAAATTCGTTGTTTTGTTGTTTTTTTTCAAAAACGGGTAAAAAGAACCAAAAATCTTGACAATACATAAATATTCCTTTAGGCTACATTTTTATTTTACGAATTCATACCCATTGGGCATGATGACACATGCCTATACTCTTAGCATTTGGGAAGTGGAGGCAGGAAGATCAGGAGTTCAAAGTCTATTTAAATACATCTCATTTCTTATTTTGGCTCAGGAAGAGTTCAAAGTCATCTTAATCTCACCTTCAGCTACCTAGTGAGTTCTAGAACATAGGAGCTTGACTCAAAAAGAAAAAAATTTTTTAAAGCATTGATAAATTAAATCAGGTATGATGCCTTGTGCCTACAGGCCCACCTACTCAAGAGAAGTGCTTGAGTCCAGGGGTTGAGACTAGGCTAGGCAACATCACAAGACCTTGTTTCAATAAATAGGGCTGGAGGTGTAGTTCAGTGGTAGAGCACTTTCCCACTATGCAGAAGGGTATCAGTTAATCCCTGACACCACAAATAAATAAAAAGCATGCACAAAAAATCCTGTTCCCATCTCAAAACTATTTTCAAAGAAAACCATTCTGTGTATATTCCTTTTTTTTTTTTTGTATATTCCTTTTTAAATACAAACAAAATTAAATCTCTCAGTCACGAATAGAAAATAAATTTTAGATATTTGCTTTGGAGCCAGCAAGATGGATGGGTAAGAAAAGGTACCTGCCTCCAAGCCTGAAGACCTGAGTTCAATCCCCAGGACCCACACAGTGAAAGGAGAGAACAGACTCCTACAAGTTGTCTTTTGACCCCCACATACCACACACATGCCCTAGCATACATGCCCATATACAAACACATATAAATACATAAATAAATAGGATATTTGCTTTGAAAGAACTATTGTAAGGTACTTTTTTACTAATTCAATTTCCAAGAATCTTAGCTTGAAGAAAAATTAATACAACTTTTTTAAATATGGGCTGAGGACATATATAGCTCAGTGGTGTAGCACTTGCCTAGCATGTATAAGGCTCTGAGTTTGAGCCCTTAAATGTGGGGGGGATTAAAATATAACATATTCAAAGTAAATCTGAGACATGCTACATACATATTCTCTCCCCTCTAAACAAAGCTTTAATACATTAAAGTTATTTTGGTTCTGATCAGTTCTGTGTTAAATAAAGCTGTCTCACTTGCCTAGCATGTACAAGGCTCTGAGTTTGATCCCTTAAATGGAGGGGGGGGGATAAAATATACCATATTCAAAGTAAATCTGAGACATGCTACATTCATACTCTCCTCTAAACAAAGCTTTAGTACATTACAGTACTTCGGTTCTGATCAGTTCTGTGTTAAATAAATCTGTTTCAAGCACTACCTAAGCTCTCTCTACAAAGTGCTAACTAATGTCACAGAGATGTACATGTATCAGATGTCAGTTTGGAAAATGGTGTTTTATGAGGGAAACATAATTTTAACACTTTAAGGTCATCAGAAGAAAAGTTACCTGAATCATAGATGATTCTCTTCTTCTTGTTTGGTTGCTTTTGTTTGGAGGCATCCTCTTTACAGGAGCTATTTACCTATAAACATCATGGTGTGATTAAAACAAAAGGAGCTCATAAAACTTAGCCTCTTTCTCAGTGAGACTTGGGCTTAGTGGTTTTCAACAGGGGCAATTTTGCCACCATGGAGACATCTATCAATATCTAGACACTGTTTACCACAAATGGGGGTTGGAGGAGTCTTACCAGCATCTAGCATAAATAAGAGTGCTATTAAATATTAATGCAACAGTTATCTAGCCCAAAAATGTCAGTAAAGCTCTTACTGAATTACAGATAGCAGGACAAGACCATAACTGGAAGTAAAAGAATTATAGAAAATGCTATCTTATTATTCAGCTCCACTTTCAATACTACCCAATGTATAACAGAGTAAAAGGATGCCAAGTATTACAAGGAGATAGAGTTTAGACACTGAATGCCCTTAAATGCTTTGGTCTCTAAGCAGTGCTATTGAGAGGTGGCAGAACCCTTAAGAGGCAGAGCCCAGTGGAAGACCCTTAAAGGGAAAAGGAGAACCCCACCCTTCCTCTTTCTCTTTGTCTCTTAGCCATGAAGTGAACAATTTAGCTCTACCATATGATGTGCTATTTTGGCAGCCCATAACAATGGGACAATGAATCATAGACTGGAAACCTCTAAAACTCCAAGCCAAAAAGACCTCCTTTCTCTTTGTAACTAAATTATCTTAGACATTTTGTTATAGTTAATGGAAAAGTGACTAACACACAAGACAAGTACTTCACAAAAATAAAAGATTAACAACAAAAGTAGCACTATGCTACCATTCCATCATTAACTAATACATGCTGGAAAACTAAAACCAAGCCAAAAGGTAGTACATATATCTGTAAACATCACAAGTCTAGGAGGTAAAAATATCTATGTAATTCTGTCCATTATAACAAAACTGTAAAAATATAACAACCACCAGGCATGGATCTCTGCATTCAAGGCTAGTCTTGTCTATACAGAGAATTCCAGGCCAGCTAGGACTACACAGTGAAACCCTGTCTCAAAAAAGGAAAAAAAAAAAATTAATTTAAAAATAAAAATAAAGGCCAGACGTGATGGCAGAGGCCTTTAATTCCAGCACTCAAGAAAAGGTGACAGGCAGGTCTCTGGCAGTTTGAGGCCAGCCTGGTCTACACAGAGTTCCAGGCCAGCCAGGGCTACAAAATGAGACCCTGTCTCAAAAAAGAAGAAAGAAAAAAAGAAACGGGCATGTTCTTGCTGTTGTTCTTTACCAGGAAGCTTCTGTCTAGACAGTAATCTTAAAATAAGTATACAATGCAGTGTCCCCACTTACAGCCACAGACGTGACTACTCCCTTTGAGGTGCTGGGGGCCAAACCCAGGGCCTTACACATGCTCCCACTGAGCTACATCCTTGGCTCTTTTTCTTTCAACCAGTTATCAGAGTCTTGCTGTTATCAGTCCTAATTTTGCAAACTGCTGATTAATAAAAGTATACATTAAAAGAAAAAAAAAAGAGGACACACAAGGCAAGAAGAAATGAAACCTATAGTGGTTTTATGTGTCAACTCAACTGGGTCATAAAATATTCAGATATTTGGTCAAACATCCCTCACACATTTGTGTAAGGTACTTTTGGATACACTTATTATTTAAATGAATACCACACCCTGAAATAACTGAACCTTATCCAACCAGATGAAGGCCTGGAAAGATAAAAGCAAACCCTCCCCTGAATGGGAGAGAATTCTTCCTGTCTATCTGACTTCTAGGTAGGACATCAGTTTTTCCTGCCTTTGGACAAGAAGAGGAACATCAGTTCTCACTGGGTATGTTGGATAGCTTCAGTTGTCAACTTGACACACCTGGTTAGAGGGGACCTCAATTTAGAAATTGTTTCCATTGGACTGGCCTATGGCCATGTCTGTGGGGCATTTTCATGATTGTGATGTGGGAGGCCCAGTCCAACTGTGGGGGGTGCCACCCCTGGGCAGGTGGCCCTGTATTATAAGAAAGTAGGCTGAAAGCCCGGCAAGATGGCGCACACCTTTAATCCCAGCAGAGGCAGGAGGATCTCTGTGAGTTCAAGGCCAGCCTGGTCTACATAGTAAGTTCCAGGCCAGCTGGAGCTACAGGGAGACCCTGTCTCAAAAAAAAAGAAAAAAGAAAAAAGAAAAAAGAAAAAAAAAGCAGGCTGAGCACAGACCAGAAAAGAAAGCCTTAAGTAAGCAGTTCCTCCATGGTCTGTGCTCCAGGTTCCCACCCTGAGTTCCTGCCTTGGCTTCCCTTGATGATGGACTATGAACTATAAACCAAATAAATCCTTTCCTCCCCAAGTTGGTTTTGGTCAGTGTTTTTACCACAGCAACAGGGAAGCTAACTAGAGCACTGGGTCTCTCTAGCCTGCCAATCTTCAGACTAGACCCATACCCTCTCACCTATCCTGAGTCTTAGCCCTTCAGAACAAGTCTCCAACTTACCAACTGCAAATCTTGGTATTTGTGGCCTCTGTGCATCTTGAACTGGTTCTTTGTAACGAACCTACTTATCTTCATTCTATTAGTTCTATTTGGCTAGAGATACTGACTAGTAAAGATTTTAATACTGAAAAATGGATACTGCTATTTTAAAAACTTATCTAAAATAAGGAAGTGGCTTTGGAAGTAGACACTGAGTAGGAACTGGAGGGATTTTGAGGTACATACAAGAAAAAGCCTAGAGGGGCTGGAGAGATGGCTCAGCAATTAAGAACACTCACTGACTGTTCTCACAGAAGACCAGGGTTCGAATCCCAGCACCCATATGGCAGCTAATAACTGTCCGTAACTCCAGTCCCAGGGGACTCAGACAGCCTCTTCTGACCTCCGTGGGCATTGCACAACATGGGTGCACTTACCTACATGCAGGCAATACATGCATACACATAAAATAAAAATAATAAATAAAATATTTTTAAAAAAGAATGCCTAGAATGCCTTAAAGGAACAATAGATAGAAATATGAACATTAAAGATAATTCTAGTGAAGGCTCATGAAAAAGAATATAGTGCAAATCTTTATCTCAAAGAACATGAATATTAGCCAGGTGTGGTGGTGCATGCCTTTAATCCCAGTACTCAGGAGGCAGAGGCATGCAAATCTCTGTGAGTTCCAGGCCAGCCTGGTCTACATAGGGAGCGCTAGGCCAGCTGGGGATACAGGGAGACCGTCTCAAAAAGACCAAAACAAACAAACAAACAAAAAGAAAACCCATGAATATTACCATGAATGGAATGTTGATAAAATATGAATGCAAGAATTGGGAGTCTGGCTGGGTGGTACCAGTGACTTTCCTAGCATGCATGAGGCCCTGGGTTTGATCCTCGATGTCACCATAATAAAATATAAAAGGAAGAAATATGAAAGTTAAAGGCCAACCTACTAAATTCTTAGATGAAAACAGTAAAAGACTTTTGAAAGCTGCAATGAAGAACTCACTTGTGTTCTATGGCTCTATGAAGATAAACCTGAAAATTCAGTACTAAACTGAAAGAGATTTTGAAAGAGAATGCTGAAGGTGCAGCTTGACGATATATAGTGATGTAAGAGGAAAGAAAGGTGAAACGAAGAATTGCTAAGCAAAAAGCAGAACTTGATGACTTAGAAAACTCTGTCCACATTGTAAAAAATGAGGTAGCATATTGTTTTTTTTTTTGTCTTTTTGAGACCAGGTCTCCCTGTAGCCCCAGCTGGCCTAGAACTCACTATGTAGACCAGGCTTGCCTCTGCCTCCCAAGTGCTGGGATTAAAGGCGTGTACCACCACGCCCAGCTGAGGTAGCATATTCTGGACAAAGTACCAAGGATGCAGCTGGACTGTCACCAAAGAGACAATTGGATGACACAAGCAGAAACCCTGCCAATCTCAATGGAAGGGGGGTAGAAATAGGAAAAAAACAAAGGAATCCTTCCTCTTAGATTCCACAGAACAATGAAGTTATTCCTAAGATATCATCAGGACTGCCTCTTCACCTTCCACCGGTAGGAAACACCACCTTGGTTTCAAAAGACCAGACAGCCTCCACCTGAAAAAGCCTCTAAGGAAAAGTGACCCTGAAGAGCCACAAACTGCTGCCTATAAGCACAGAAGTGAAACTCAAGTGGGTCAGCAACGTAAGTTATAAAACCAGCCTCTTTCTCTACTGAGTACAGACACTCAAGGAAAGGCTGTCTGAGGACACAAGGAAGACATTCATCTGAAAACCAAGAAAAGAATCCTCATCAGAAACTAAATCAGGCAGAACCTTGATAATGGGTATAGAGCCTCCAGAAATGAAAGAAAATAAATTTCTGTTGTTGAAGCCACTGGATCCATAGTATTCTGTTATGGCATCCAGAACTGTCTAAACTATGACGCACAGACTCAAGAGCAAAGGCACGCAAGAGAAACCAGTCCTCATATAATCCAGATACTGGAATTAGCAGACAAGAATTTTAAAGCAGCTACTTTTTACACTCAAGAACATAAAAACTATGAAAAGGAACCAATGTTGGGGCTGGAGAGATGGGTCAGTAGTTAAGGGCACAGGCTGCTCTTGCAGAGGACCTGGGCTTGGTTCCCAGCACCCATACGGCAGCTAACTGTTCATAATTGAAGTTCCAGGGGATCCTACACCTTCTTCTGTCCTCCACCGGGATTACACAACACAGGTACACTTACACACATGCAGGCAACACACTCATACACAAAATAAAAATAATTTTTAAAAAAAATTTTAAAGACCAAAATAAGAAAATAAAATGACCAGATGTGCTACCTCACATCTGTAATCCTGACACTCACAAAGTGACAGGGACTAAAAGAAGACCAGAATTCAAGGTCAATCTGATCTATACAGCAAGCTCCAAGCCAGTCTGAGGCTACATGAGACCTGGTCTCAGACAGAATGAGACAGAATATATAATAGCAAAAGCTTCCCAATTTGATAAAAGACATAAATTTACAGATTCAAGTTCAGAAACCATATACAGTAAAAAGTAAAACCACACCTATATGCATAGTTATTCTATGCAAACCAAAGATAGTTGTTTATTTGTTTTTGTTTTTTTTAAAAAAAGTTTCACTGTGTAGCTCTGGTTGGCCTGGAATTGGCTATGTAGACCAGACTGGCCTTGAACTCACAGTGATCTTGTTTATTTGTTTTTTTAAACAGGGTCTCCCTGTAGCACTAGTTGGCCTAGAACTCAATATGTAGACTAGGCTGGCCGCTAACTCACAGTATTCTGCCTACCTCTGCCTCCCAGGTGCTGGGATTAAAGGCATGCACCACCATACCTTACAAAAGATAAAAATTTTTAACAAGATATTTATTAAAATGTAAAACTGCATCGATCTGAGAAAAAAAAACTACACACAAGAGAACACAGTATGAAAACACTAGTAGCTCATTAAACTGGAAGCCAAAACAAAGTGAAACATCTTTAAATGGCTAAAACAAAAACTGACTCAAAATTCCACATCCAGCAAAACCATCCTTCAAGACAAAGTAAAGGCATGTTCATGCACACAACATCTGTCACCAAAAGAACAAGAAATGCTAAAGAAAACTCTTCTGGTTCCAAGAAAATAGCATCAAATGAAAACTCAGATCCTCAGTGAGAAATGAAGAGCACCAGAAAAGGCCAGTGTGTAGGTCAATTAAAAAGAACATTTTTCCTAGGGAGTGGTAGCACATGCCTTTAATCCTAGCACTCTGGAGGCAGAGGCAGGCAGATCTCTATACGAGGCCAGTCTGAGTTCCAGGGGAGACTCTGACTCCCTTAACTTCTTTGAAATACATTTCTGTTAAAAGCCAAAATTACACTGAATTATGAAGTACTAATATAGTCATATATGTTAACATATGTAACAACTAGAGCATAAAGGACTTCAGAGTTACAAAACCCTCACATTTTAAATACAGTGGAACAATATTAACTCAAACACATCGTTGTAGCCATCACCTACATGTCCCACTAATATTGTATCTGAATTTCTCTGGTTCCAAGAAAGACAGAAAAAAGAATAAAGCTTTCCTACAACACCTTCACTCATCCTAAGTCTAACATCATTTACCTGAGGAAAGGGGCTCATGTCTCTATGAGCAAACTTGGACTTTTTTCATACTGGCCTCAAACTCAAGATACTCCTGCCTCTGCCAGGCATGGGAGCACATGCCTTTAGCCCCAATACTCAAGAGGTGAAGGCAAGCAAATCTCTGTTGAGTTCCAGAGCAGCCTGGTCTACAATGGTCTAGAAAGTGAGTTCCAGGCCAACCAAGGTTACATAGCCAAACTGTCTAAAAAAAAAATTCCTGCCTCTCTTCCTTCTTATTTCTAGCATGTGCCACAATTGGCAAACTCTGGTCTTAAAATACAAAGTTTTAACAACTAATAAGGGTTCTATTTCTAGATCAAGAAAGCAAAAGAAAGACTGGGTCAGTGGTACATGCCTATAATCACATCAGTAGGGAGGCTAAGGCAGAGAATCAAGAGTTTAAGGTCATTGAGATACACGGTGAATTTAAGGCCAGGCTGAGGTACATGGTGAACTTAAGGAAAGTCTGGGATACGACTTAAGACTGGGAGAGAGGAAGGAACGAGGGAGAAAGGGAGAGGGGAGGGAAAGGAGGGCAACACCGCAGGAATGTAGCGAACTATTCTAGTGAGAAGTACCAGCCTCCCTCCTTTTCCCTTCTCTTCCTCCCTAATGAACAGAAAGCTCTATTCACACAACATTCCCAACAGACCAGGTTTAGAAACTGAATTTATCTGACACCTCACCTAATACAAACTTGAATATGGAAAACTGACCTTGATCTCCTTTATTCCTTTCTTTCCTCTGACAGTGTCCTCTGCAGATTTTGTTTTGTCATTCTTCTTTACTGTTTCATTTACAGGTTTTTTTCCACTTGGTATAACGCCAAAGAATTTCCGAATGTCCTAAAAACAAAGAAAGGAGACACGAAATATTAAATGTACAAAAATTTACTTTTAATTACAAATGGGACAGCTTTACTGACATACTGGTCTACCCCAAGTAATCTCTCCAAATCAAGGTATGTATAAAAGCCACCTGATGAAATTATCCGAGTTAAAAATTTTTAAAAATCTTATGAAACACCTAATAAAAATATTAATCCTCAGAATGTGACCAAAAACAAGGCAAAAATAGGCACGTAAAACTTTTGATAATGACAGCACAATTATAGAAGCAAGTCGAGAATAGTGACTGATCATGCATGTACACACATCCCACTGTCCCAGGCAGCTGAGAAGACAGAGTGCCATCCACAGCCACAATACTAACACTTCAGTTTGACAGAACAACTTCTACAACCCAAATCTTTCATTTTTCTTTTTTTTAATGTGTGTATGAGTGTTTTGCCTGCGTGTATGTATGTGCATGCATGCAATTCCTACAGAGGTAAGAAGAGGGTATCAGATCCCCTGGAACAAGAGTTATGGATGGTTGTTAGTCACCATGTGGGTGCTGGGAAATGAATTCAGGTCATCTGCAAGAGCAGTGGGTGCTCTTAACTGTTGACCTATTTCTCTAGTGATCATTCTCAGTAACTAAGGTACTTGAAAAGATTTTCTTCTATGATTCTTCTCAAACCCAAAAGAAAAGTAATTAATTTGGTAGATTTTTCCTGTATATCTCTTAATATATAAAAATTTAAAAGTTTAAAAAGTATTGCTTCCAGGGGCTGGCGAGATAGTGCAGCGGTTGAGAACACTGCTCTTGCAGAAGACCTGGGTTCAAATCCCAGCACCCACATGGCAGCTAACAACTGTCTATAGCTCCAGTTTCAGGGGATGCAACAGTCTCTTCTGTCCTCCATGGGCATTGCACAACACAGGTACACTTACCTACATGCAGGCAATACACGCATACAAATAAAATAAAAATAACTAAAATATTTAAAAAAAAAAAAAGTATTGTTTCCAGGCATGGTAACACATGCCTGTAATTCCAGCACTCAAGAAGTAGAGGCCGGAGAATCAGGAGTTCAGGGCCAGGTTTGACTACACAGCAAGTTCCAGGCTAGTCTTGGATACAAGAGTATATAATGTACACTCAGTGGGTAAATGTGTTTGCCATGATAGCCTGATGACCTGACTTCAATCCCTGGAAGCCACATAAATGTGGAAGGAAAGAACTGACTCCACAAAGCTATCCTCTGACCTCCACACATTAGTATGATTACACACACACACATACACATACACACACACACACACACACACACACACACTAATAATAATACATTTTAAAAGTAAATAACTGAATAAAATACTGCCTACCAAATGGAGAGCTCAACTATAAAGCTCAGACATCTGTGTCAAGTGAAGAATAGGACTTAATAAACCAAGCCCTGGTCATATTTACAACTTGCAAAGAATCGAATTTGAGGCTTACTATAGCTTCTGGAGGAAATGAGAGGTACAAATCAGGTTCTCTTTAAAACTGTGCAGTAATTTTTCACTCAAACAGTGGTGATTAAACACATACATGCAAAGGAAAGAGAAGGTGTGAGAAAAAAAGAGACAGTACAGATACACCATGGAAACAGCAAAACTGTAAATCAGTAATTAGGGTAAAGGTCCCAGATTTCTGCTGGGCGTGGTGGCATATGTCTCTAATCCCAGCATTTAAGAGGCAGAGGCAGGTAATCTCTGTGAAACTGAGGCTGGAACTCACAGAGTTCCAGGCCAGCTGAGGCTACAGAGGGAACCTGGCTCAAAAAAAAAAAAAAAAAAAAAAAGTCCTGGTTTTCAACCTGTTTGGGGACCACAGATTCATAAAATTGCAGAAGGAAAAGCACTACTGAGAAAACGAAACCAAGCACTTGGACTTACACGTACAGAAAATTCTGCATCGCCCTCAGCAATGCCGACTTCTTCCTCCTCGGCAACTCAGCTCACATTCCCTCTTTTCCTTTCTCTGTTCTGTTCTACTCCCCAGTTTCTACCCTCAGATGGCAGCACAGTGCTGAATTACAGCATCCTGATCTATTACAATATACACTAAAAATCTAAACTTTTACAAAAGAATTGAACCAGAATGGAATCTATTCATGTTGCCTTTTCACAACGATCGGCCTAGTATAAACATCCAAGAGGCGAAAGTGAGCAGTCTGCTAATGAACTCATAAAGTGACTTCAATCTTATTGTTCCAGTTCGAACACTTCCTGTGTAGTATTCAGGGCTTCAAAGCTTTCAGGAAATAGAGGAAAGCAAGCCCAGTTAGTAGCTAGCATACACAAATAATGGACCCAAACCTCTCCCTTGGCTTGGCTGAGAGATGAGTCAAAAAGGAACTAAATCTTTTCTGCATTTATTTATTTATTTACTATATGTGTGTATATATATTTGGGTGGGTGCACACGTGCCATGGCACATGTGTGGAAATCAAAGGTCAACTTGCAGGAACCAGTTCTCTCCTTCCATCATGTGGGATTCAGAAAAAGAACTCAAGTCAGCATGCTTGGCAGCAAGAATCTAATCACTGAGCTATAATCAGAGGCCCAAGAACTAATTTTTAATGTTACTTTTACAATTCTCACAATAGGAAGGCCTTCTAAGCAGACCATCAGGATTTCCAAAAATCCAGGGCTGGAGAGATGGCTCAGCAGTTAAGAGCACTGATTGCTCTTGCAGAGGACCCGGGTTCGATTTCCAGCACCCACATGGCAGGATGGCAGGTAACAACCATCCATAACTCCAGTTCCAGGGGATCAGATGCCTTCTTCTGACCTCCACTGGCACTGCATGACATGGGTGCACTTACACACATGCAGGCAATACACTCATATTTAAAATAAAAGTAATAAATACAATTTTTTTTAAAAAAAGATTTCCAAATATCCAGAAAGATTTACTAGGCATGGTGCTCATCTCCTAGAAGGAATGCTGGGAGTCTAAGGCCAGCCAGAGCTACACAGTAAAGCCCTACCTTAAAAACAAACAAAAACTGGGAGCTGGGGATGTAGATCCATTAATAGAGTGCTTGCCCAAGATGTATGAAGGCCTGGGTTCCAACCCAGTGCTACATAAAACCAGGTATGCTGGCACTTGGGAGGGGAAAGAGGAAGATTAGTTCAAGGCCACTCTGAACTATATAAGCAAGCCCCTATCTCAAAATATTAACTTAAAAAATTTTTGACGAGAGAAATATGAAACAAGATGTCATAAACAAAATTTTAACATATCTATTAACATATGTAATATATGAACAGGCTCCTCCAAATCAATAAAAGACAACCAAATAGACAACTAAATAAAAGCTAACACAAGGCAAATTATAAAAGAAATGCAAAAACATGCCGAGTGTGGTGGTGCACGCCTTTAATCCCAGCACTTGGGAGGCAGAGAGGCAGGCGGATCTTTGTGAGTTCAGGGCCAGCCTGGTCTACATAGTGAGTAGACCCTGCTTCAGAAAGACAAAAATAAATAAAGAGTAGAGACCGGCTCAGACTTCCGCACTCAGGTGTTCCGACGTGTGGCCAATAAAATATGTGCATACCTTTTGTCCCAGTGATTCCATTTCTAAAAGAAATGAAAAGGGTTAAAAAGATGGCTCAGTGGTTAAGAGCTTACACTGTTCTCCCAGAGGACCCAGGTTCAGTTCCCAGCACCGCATCAGATGGCTCACAACTGCCTGTGACTCCAGCTCCAAGAGATTCAACACCCTCTTATGGCCTCTGCACTCACATGCACATACCCATAATTTTTGCTTGTTTGTTTGAAAAAGGGTCTCCCTGTAGCCCCAGCTAGCCTAGAACTCACTATATAGACCAGGCTGGCCTCAATCTCATAGAGATCTGCCTGCCACTGCTGGGATTAAAGGTATATGCCCCCCACACTGGGCTCCGTAATTTTTTTTTTTTTTTTTTTTTTTGGTCTTTTTGAGACAGGGTCTCCCTGTAGCCCCAGCTGGCCTGGAACTCACTATGTAGACCAGGCTGGCCTTGGACTCTTCGAGATCCACTTGCCTCTGTTGGGATTAAAGACATGAGCCACCACACCCCAGCCCATATTTTTTTTTAAATAAAATAAATCTTAGCAAATGATAAAGTAATTAACTCTCCTATCCTGGCAACCAATTTTTAAAAAAGCAGGTCAATTAAAGCAAGGTAAATGATTCAGGAAAAACTCACAAGTTAAAAACAAATTTTAGCACCAACAACTAAAAAAAAAAAAAAAAATAAAATTTTTCAAGTTTTATAATAACTTGCCTTTTTTGATGATCCTGTGAGGTGAACAATGCAAATGAAAATAGAACATATCCCCATTTTATGAATGAGTACACAGAACAACAGTTAAGACAGATAAGCAAAGGGTCTTAGCAGGTTTGACAGTAAAAGGACACCAGATGAGTTACTCCATTTTGCTGTCCCTTAGCTTCCTCGATGTCACTTGCCGCACAAGATCCCTATGATAAGTTAGAGGTTACACACCAAAAACTTCTGAAATTGAATCTGGTCCTCCATCTCCAAATCCCTATCCAATCCTCAACTGGACCATGATTGTCTACTCAAGTGTTTCCATGGTTCTAAGAACTGTGCAAAAGCAGACATACCCTACCACCAGCAATCTTGACCCATTTATTCTTATATGCTTACAGGAAGACACAGTGCAGGGACTTAGGATGCAAAGTGAACATCCCTGTATGAGAAAAATGCCCTCATGAAGACTACTTTGGGAGACAAAGTAGTATGTAAGAACTTATATAGTCCAGTGCACAGACAGTGCTAATCATAAGGCTGTGAGAGCACCAGGACCACCTGACCCAGGACCTAGGAGGCAACACCTAAACTGGGCCTTAACATGAAAGTACATCTGATACTCATCAAAATTTAAGTTTGAAGACATTTCTGTAGGTTCTATACAATAGGCTTGTTATCTTACCATCCTGTGTTAAGCACATGTCAGCACG